TTTTCTTTCGACAAGCGAGCGAATTCAACCGAATTTTCAGAAATAAGGGGTTTCTCATTCTCGGTTTCACTCTTCATGAACTCAGAGCAATCAACTTCGTCTTCGACTGAGATTTCGCTCATCTCACTTTCCTCATCAAATTCAGACGTATTTTCTAAGTTCATTTTATTTTCTGAAATCAATTTTGCGTTAGACGAGTCAAATGATTTAATAGTTTCGGACTTTATTTTTAACCTATCATTTTCATCTAAAAGATCTTTGAGCATACATTTATGTTCCTTAGAGTCAATGAAGGTTTCTATCTTGTCCAGTCCGATTTTGTAATGAATTGACGTTTCTTCTGAGGACACTACTGATTCACATTCTGCTATGACCTCATCCTCCTTAAATTCAAGGAAGGGTAACATCATCTTATGTATCCTCTTTCCTATCTCACAACTTAAATGCAATTGAGCAATATTAAAGTACAAACGCTTAGCAATTAAAAAAACATTCCTTTGTTTTAGAAACTTTAAATTGTCTCTTTGTAAATAAATACTTTAATCCCTAGCCCTAATTAACTCCGCCTCCTTCAGCTCAATCCACATCCTTCTCTCCTCACTTTTTGAAGACACCCTGCTGAGTTGGTCAGTTAGGTTAGAATTCGCTAAGCGAGTTTGCATGAGACTACCACTTAAGTTAGAAAATTTAAATTTTAATTCATTTAATTCTTCTTCGTAATCTGTTATTGGAACTTTAAGTGATTCAAGGATGGATTGTACCTTTTTGATCAACCGATCGCAGTCGTTGATCTTCTCACTCACAGGCTTGGCCGCAAAACACTTGTCCTCAGTCAGGTTCGGTTCCTCACTTGCACTTTCGGTTGATGAACCAGCTGTGACAATTAAACACCTTCCAGCCGAACCTACTTCCTTTGCCACATAAGCCTTTCCATGAGTGGGCTTTCTCACCTCTTCATCTTCAGAATCGGTTGACCAAACTTCAACGCCACCGAACTCATCTTCACCTGCATTCTCCTGCACAATCAGGGCATTCATAGAGCTGTTAGTTGCCTTCTTTTTCTTGATCTCTTCCAACTTGCGCATGTAGTACGTCTCATCATCTTCACCATCTCTTTTCTCAGCCATTTTCCTTAGCATGCAGTCTTTGGCAAAGTGGTTCTTGCCGTGACAGTAGTTGCAGTCGAACCCAGAGTCTCCTGCAAGTTTGCTCTCCTTCTTGTCTTCATCCTTTTGAGAAGAGACTTTCGCTTCGTCCTTCACCTTCTCAGAACTGTAACTTCCCTGCCAGTTTCGGTTCTTGTTGACAGGAAATTTTCTTCTTGCAAACTTCTTTGGATTGGTGACCATCATAGCATACTCCTCGCTTGTAAGGTCACACTCAGACATATCAGACTTTTCTTCTTCTTCTGCAATGCTTTTTGCTTTTGAGACAAGGGCCAGCGATCCCACACCCGAAACTACTTTCGCTTCTTTGGTTACTACACTTTCATGGGACTTAAGTATTCCCACAAGTTTCGCCAGTGAGTAAGATTTAAACTGTTCATGCGCTTTCACGGTTGAAACCACAGCCATCCATTCTGGTCTCAGACCGTTCATGAAGGTCACCTTCTGCTCGATCAACTTTTTTTGTATTCCATGCTTGATCATCTTACTTAGGAGATGATTGAACCGATCGAAGGTTTGTATGAGTTTTTCTTCTGGTTTTTGTTCGAAAACTCCAAATTCTGACAGCAGCAAGGTTTGAATGGAGTGTTCCAGATCTTCATCAGTTGAATAAAGTTCTTTCAACCTATCCCAGATTTCTTTGGCCGTCGTGCATGATCCAACCAATCGAAAAGTGTCAGATTGCAAGGTGAATCTGATCATTCTCATGGCCTTCACGTTACACAGCAACTTGTCTTTCTCATCCTGTGGCATCTTCTCTACATCCGCCACCAGCTTGTTATATTCCTTTTGGGACTTAAATGTCGTGTTCGTTCCTGAATGAACAAACGGCCCAAGCATGATAGCTTCCCAGATGAGATAACCATTATCTTCAGATCCAACCATGTAGTCTTCAAAGTGATGCGCCCATACTTCATAGTCTTGAGTGTAGAGAATGGGTATCCTTGTTGTTGATCCAATGTTGTTTGAGATGTTGATGGGATTTGTTTGCGAATCTTCGTGAGACATGGTGAGCTGCTAGAATCAAACCTGTAAACTTGATATTATGGTTTTATCTGAAACAGAGTTGTCGTCGATACGAAGAAGACGGCTTCTATTTATACGATAAAAGCGGAAACCCTTAAGAATTCTGAATACAGAAGGAATGTGTATTGATCACACAGTCTCCTGCTCTGATACCAATTGTTAGATCAAAGTTCTATTAGGATCGTTAGATTCTATGCAAGCAAACAGTTAAGAATGTAATCAAGAACACAAGAATGGCTTTGAATATGTCGTATGATTAATACTTCAACACCTCAGAAGAGCTCGATTAAGAACTTCGACTGTAGAGGCGTTTAGGCTTACAGAACAATGAACGTAATAATCAACACCGTCTAATGCATACATGCATGCATATTTATAGTATAACCCTATCAGATAAACACGGATGGACAGGCCCAATCCGGATACAAAACAAAAAGCCCAAGACGCAACACAATTAGACTCAACAACTTTAAAATTGCTTATGTTGTTGTTAGAAGAAGAAAATACCATTCTTAGCTACAAAACCCCATCATGCACTTGACATCCATGAACTTGCAGGTGAAATTAAAGAACAAAGGAAGGTAAATTCAGTTTTGATGCACATATGTTCCAATGTGACCAACAAAGAGGAAATGGTGTTGAAATCAAATACTCACCCTAACCTAAGATACACTGAAATGAATTCATGATCCAAATGTTTTGTCCACCAATCAGCCAGATGAGCAAATCCATAAATCATTCAGAAAAGTCCTGGAAATTATGGAGATACTGCTTGGAGTGATATTTGAAGAAAAGTCTGGGTCTTCTGCGTCAAAAATTGGAGAAGAAGAGACAAAGAAATGGTTGGAAGTCTCCTCTGACACCGAAACATAAATCATTCACCAAGACCACACCCCGTCACCAGAAAAGAATTTCTAGATTCCTCCATCTCCTATCTAAACCACCAAAGCTCCCTCCAAATCAAAACATTCCATATGAAAAATATCATAACTCCACATCTATTAAATCTCAACAACAAAACACCTCAAGCACCAACAAAAGAAGCATTGAAGAAAACCAATAACACTGAAGGGGTGATGACGAAAAATATGGATTTTTCATTCAAAGCCGAGAATGACTCCCCCACCACAAGCCAAAAGAAGAGAGTTTAAAGGGCAACAAGGTTTATATAATACAGATTTGATGTCAATATTTATCAGAACCTGATCGTCTCATCGTTCAATCACATCCAAAGGATGATCGATGAAGAAAATGTTCCTCGCTCCTCTCCATTGCTCCTTCTAAGGATTTATACTAGGATATTACATTTTCCCTGAATGGCATTATCTTTAAAGTATTCAACGAGTTTGATCTTCGCTTTCCAAAAGCAATAATTTGCCACTATAGTTTGAGAGGTTATGTCAGTTTCATAGGAAATATGAAATAGGAAATAACAAAGTGTAGACACTTTCTAAAGTTTATCATGCCAAAATTTTCAAGAACTTGAAAAAGGGAAATGAAAAAGTCTAGACACTTTCATACATCTATTAGGAATGATAACTAAGAATTTCTAATAAAAGTGTGGATACCTTCCGATCAGAACTCTATGGTTCAGCGTGCTTAAGCGAGAGCAATTCCAGCATGGGCGACCCACCGAGAAATTTTCGTGTTAATTTCTAGCTCAAAATGGAGAATATTGTGATATGCACTAAAGGGGAGTGTTATAATAGTTGACCTACCTCGTTCACGATCTACATGAATATGAAAACAAAACTTAAGAAAACAAATATTCACAAAGATAACTAAATTTGGGAAACAATAGAGAAAAAGTATTGACCTAATATATTAGAAATGATTAAACATGGATCTTATAGAACCTTCAAAAATTACAATGACATATGTGCTTAAATTTGACTATTTAATTGAAGTAATATAGTTTTTTTTTTTCTGAAGGAGTTGTAGTTATGATTTATAATTGTAACGTTTCACAACAAGCTTTGGCGTGTTCTACATAAAACAAATTTAATTACAAATTGTTATTTGAAAACTTATACATATATTTGGGGATGAGCAAAGATTTACGGATCTTCATTTTAAAGAAATATTGATTATCCAATATGGGATGAACGCGGTTTCCATGTATGTGTGAGTGAACTCAAGTAGTATGAAATGTTGCATCTTGTTCATGTGTGTATGAACTCTGAGAAATTTGTTCACGTATTCCTTAGAAATCGATTCCAAAGAATTTTCTTGTATTTGTGAACTAAAGAACTAAAAAATCCTTTTCTTCCCATGAAATATTGTTGAAACCCGGAGATCTCGTAAATCTTGTCTGGAACTCAAAACGAATATCTGAAAATAATTTTTGAAAACAAAAATGAATTTTTTTTTTAAATTGTAATATGTGATGAACAAACCCTTCAAATCGAACTGTGAAATATATGATGAATCCGTGTCGAACACACGCTCATTAAAATCTAAAATCTAAAATCTTTGATGATTTTACAAAACAAGGCAAAAAAAGTTATCTAATGTTGTAACATGTTTTTACAGGTTTCTCATTTATCGTAATAATATTAAAATAATATGAGTATACTTAAAAAAAGTAACAAAAAACTACTAAAAAAATGTCGAAAGGTTTTGTGTAATAACATATGATTTATTAAATATAAAATAATAACATCATTGCTTAATTTTAAAATACGAAGTTCCATAAATTTAATTCTATCTCAATCATCTTATTAAATTAGGGACCACATCAATTTGTATATATACATGCGATATTCACTTGTTAAAAGTTATAACTAGAAGATTAAGAAAAAGACTATCATGGTTCGTAAGACTATTGTTGTTGTATCTTTTGTGTTTTTTATTTATACAATTGAAAGTGTTCTTGGAAGAAAACTTTTGGGAGACGAGAAGATAACCCTTGGATATGGTGAGGTGATAAGCAAGATTAGAGGAAGTGTTGGGTGTGAAGTTGGAGAAGGAACTTGTGGTGAGATTAGAGAAAAAAAAATGTTGGATGGCCGTATTGTAGACGTATCTCTAATTCTAAACTCAAATGGTAACGGAGCAATAAACACCGGGGGATCTGTAAGTGGAGATGGAACCGGAGCTGGAGCAGGAGTTGCAGCAGGAGCTGGAGTTGGAGCTGGTGGAGCCGGAGCTTTTGCTGGACTTGGAGCTGGGGCCGGAGCCGGAGCCGGAGCTGGAGATGGAACTGGAACTGGAGCTGGAGCTGGAGCTGGAGCCGGAGGGGGAGCTGGATCAGGAGCCGGAACCGGTGCCGGGCCCGGTACTGGATCCGTAACCATAACCAATGACAGTCCCGGTACCGGAGCCGTAACCATGGCCGGAGCCGGAGCTCCAAACACTGCACCTTCTCCGGGAGATGCATGTGGATATATGGCTACCGAATACAAATCCATTTTTGGATTTTTCAATCGTGGTGGGTGGTAATGATGACCTTTAAAGACCAATGCATCTTTCAAATTAACATTGAACTAAATAACTAGTTGAGGTTGTCTACTCATGGGTAAACATGCTCGACTTCATGTTGTATTGAATATGTATATTCTATATCTCTTTATGTATTATGTATCCAACGAAACCAAATAAAATAATATGAAGATGCATGTTTTGTATCTCCTACCGTCATGTTTTGATTATGTTCATATGCAGGGGCGGGCCAATATATACATAAAGGTATGTAATTACATAAACTTAAGTTTTACTAAGAAGTGTTGATTTTTGTTATATAAAAAGTTAGATGTCAAATAGATAAGATTACAAACCCTTAATCGAATATTTGCATACCCAACAACTAGGATATTTCATTAATTTAATCGAATTCAATCAAAGATTAAGGAAACTGTTTTCGTATTATATTGTTAAATAATTAAAAGTAAACAAGGATTATGATAATTCTAAAAACATTTAAAAGGAACAAGACACCACCAAAATTGAAATTTCCTATCTAAAAACACTTCAAAGTCCTATTTAGAAGGAAGTTAGATCTTTATCAAAAATGAAATTTAAAATTATTAACTACTAGATAGAAAAAAAAAAAAGATAAGCCTTGCACATAATAAAAATGAAAATCATACGTCATGAGCCTGTGAACCATCATCGTCGGCGGGGGACATCACTCTCATCGTCCTCTCGGTCACATGTTTGTTTCTTCGGTCTCAACATCTCCTTGTGTTTCCATCACTCGGGCTCTTGGCCTCTCTATTACAATGCTCCGCATGAGAGCCTCCTCCCTCCTCTTTTATGCAAGTTTGCACCATATATTCATCAACGTAACTTTTTTTTTTGAACAACTGAATCATTTTATTAAGAAGTTAGCGTGGAGTTAACAAAAGTTACATATGAGTAGAAAGAATAGAATTTATACGCCAAACCAATCTATTAGCACTAAATTTCCTATTCATGTTCATTATCCAGATATCAGAATTAACGATCAATCTATCAATATGTGAATTTGATTCTAAAAAATAACCTCATTACAAAACTGACAAAGATACCACCACTTAATCGGCTGGAATGCTTTTGCAAGGTTTTCTTTTATGTAATATTTGATTATTAATTTGTCTTTTTGTGATGTGCCAATTTACTTTTTTAATTTTTAATGATCTATGAGTTTTAAGTCCCTTCTGATTTTTTAATTGAATGTATACTACTAGTTGTTTCATAGTCGTTTCGATAACTTTGCTCTGTTACTTTCAAATAGTCTTATATATTTTTGTTACTTAATTAGTTTTTTACGTTTACATTTAATGTTATTTTATTACTAATTAACTTTTTTTAGGATATGGTAATTTTTTAGTGTTTAATTTTGTTATTTTTCATATAGTTAAATACACGTTAACTACTTTTAGCACCTGCTTGTTGATCATACAATTGTTAATTTATTATGCTTACCTTTTAGGTTCTTGATTTCAATAGCATAAATAGATAATTTCAAAAGAAACGTATAATGCCCGAGAGCCTAGTTTCACCATCGATACAAATGAAAGTTATTTGAGCCACGTAATCTCTCTAAGTGAAACATTTACGAGTATCACCAAAATCAAAGAGATGGAACACCACATATCCTGGACATCTATTTTTCTCAAATTATGGTTAAGGTAGAAGGAGTGATCTTGTTTTTATCACACCATTTTTGCTCCCACATAGACGTCACGTCAGATTATAATACAACTAAAATATTAGAAATAAAACACAATGATTAAAAATATAAATCACGAATAATATAAAAGTAAAACGTACATATTATATTTTTTTGCAATCTCATCTTTGACCTTTATCGACAATTTTTTTTTGTTCGCTATAGTGACTTATTGAGATTGACATTATCTTTACGTATCTTTATTTTCTTTTAAATGTTTTAGTTGTAATCCTAGTTTGATAATGTTTAGGATTCTTATTTTGATCCTAGTATAAAAATTCTCATCTATCCGATTTTACCATTAATCGAATAAAAAGAAGTCAATTATCTCATTCTAAATTTTATATGGCATTAGGGCAAAAATATGGGAAAACAACCAAATTTTGCTTTAACAATACTCGACGGCGAGGGTTGAAACTCATTGCCACTAGGGGTGTTCAAAACCGGATATCCGAATTTCGAATATCCGAATATTCAGATAGTGGATTTTTGATATCCGAATCTGTATCCGAAATTTCGGATATCCGAATTTGATTCGGATATTAAATCGGATATCCGACATTCATGGTTTGCAAATACGAAGTTCTTTCAATTAATGTTTTGTGTTCAATTTGACAAACAAATTAACACACCATTTACTTTACTTAGTAAGAGAATTAATAAAAATAAACAAACTAGAGAAGCTTTGTGTATTTAACATTAATCGATCCTCAGTAACTTTATAACTTATAATTGAAAGCTATTTTCTTCTTGCATAGTGTAACTGCTATTAACATTACAATTAACTTCGTAGAAAAACTAAAAATTAGTTTTGCAAACAAAACTCATATCGTGGCTTCATCTCATAAAGAAGATAACAAAAAAATAAGTATGAAGTTATTTCCATCTAGAAAGGCAACAAAAATTCTTATATGACAATATTTAAGGCAATCGAAAGAGTAAAATAATGAAACACATAAACCAAGAGATATTATGATCTATTTGATAAATAGATAAATTTCGGATATCGGATATCCGAAAAATCCGAAAATGTCTCAAATTAATATCCGTATCCGAATCCGAAAATTCGGATATCCGAAATTCGTATAATTTCGGATCAGGTTTTTCGGATTTTCAGAACAGATATCGGATACCGGATATATTTGAACACCCCTAATCGCCACCACCAAAAGGACCGCTGTTGATGTCTCCTCACCCTATTTTCTCACAGCCTCTTATCATTCAAAACTAAACGTGTCGTTGGAGGAAACCTTCTGCATAACGGAAAATATAGTGATAAGAAGAATGAGATGATAAATTCCTTTTCTGCCAACAATAAGTTTGGTTTTATCGACAACTATTTACCTATGTCGCAAGAGGGACCGGCTAATCTGATGAACTAGAAAAGATGCAATGCCATGGTGAGAGGGTGACTTGCCAGTGCTATGGAGAAAGAGATTAAAAGTAATGTTAACTATGCACTCAGCACTCGCAATATATGGATGTGTCTAGAAGAAAGATTCATAAGAGAAAACGCCATGAGAACCTATGAATTAAGCAGGACGATAACTATGTTCGCAAAGAAAATATGACAATCTCAGCCTACAACATGAAGCTAAGAGAAGTCTGGGATGAATTACAATCAATTAGCCCATCACCATCGTGTAAATGCCAAGGCCGTACGTGTGACATCACGAAAGAAATTGCAAAATTACGAGAAAATGAACGTCTATATGGTTTTCTAATTGGGCTTATTGAAGTATATGGATCTTTGAGGATTCATATTCGAAGTACAGATCCACTACCCACGTTAAGCATTGTGTATCATCTTCTATGCCAAGACGAACAACAAAAGAAAATTGGCATGTTTAGCATTTCTATAGGAGAAGCTACATCTTTCCAGATTAGCAATAAAATTGGTTTAAGAATTTTTGAAAAAGGAAAGTTCTTGAATAACTTCAACAAGAAAGAAGAAAGGAACAAGAATGGAAGGAATGATGACAAATGGTGCTCTTAATGCCAGAAATCAAGAAACATAGTAGATATGTGTTTTGAGCTTGTTGGTTATCCTATTGGTGGTCCACAAAATCAACCACCTCCAAGAAACAAACAAGCAAACCTAAACAACAACAATCACGTGTTGCTACCACTAGTAGAGATGCTCCACAACAGTCTTCTGTTCTTACTAAATAATATTACGAAATATCGTTGCAACTGTTGAGATCAACAAAGCTGAGTGTGCAAAGGACCAATCCTATAAGAAACATAACTGGTAAAGTTGAAAGACAAGATGATTGGATCATTGGCTTGAGTGCTAGTGATCATATAACCCATCTCACAAAGTGGTTAAAAGATATGATCGACATAAAGAACACCATTTATGTCACTATACCTAACGGAAAATTAGTGACTGTTAAAGGAGTTGGTGATATACGAATAACAAATTTTAAACTGAAAAACGTCTTGAATATTCCAGATTTTCTTGCAATCTAATTTTATTTAGCATGATAAAACGTGATTTATGTTTTTCATTAACGTTTCAGCCTGATCTATGTTACATGCAAGACTTAACCTTATTGGGATAGCTAAGGCATGCGATGGACTTTATTATTTAGAGCAGGTTGAAAAGAAAGATAGTGGCAATCATGGTTCTAAGAAAGTATGACGTTTGGAATAGAAGATTGGGGAACACTTCAGAGGGACTACTTCGTAAGAGACAGTAGTTAGGGAATATAGGTACTTGTAGTCAATTTTGTGATTCTTGTATTCAAGCAACACAACATAGACTTCTTTTTCCAGTAAGTTTTTCGAAAACAATACAATGTTTTTGATTTGATTCACATTGATATGTGGAGTCGATACAAACATGCTTCTCTTGATAGTGCATATTATTTTCTATCAAATGTTGATAACTATAGTCATGGGGTGTGGGTGTATTTGATGAAAACAATTCCTACGATTATTAACATCCCTATGTGGTCGATACAAACATGCTTCTCTCAATACAAACATGCTTTTCTTGATGGCTATTACAACTCGCTGCCCGGTGTTGGTCAGGAGTCTTATCTCCCCTGCGTTGTTCGCAACAGTGTTTCTATGGACAACTTTTGGATGTGACATAGAGGTGGGAATCATGAATTGAGTACATTGCAGTTGCTTTACGAACCTTATAGCTTGGCACAACATTCGCACCAACTAACACTCTCAAAGGCCGTTTTGCGATGTCGTGCTTCTTAGCTACCTTGACCTAGCATCTTATCGACACCATTGTCACATTGCAGCCCAGCTCTGCATAACATCATTAACAACC